TAAGGCCCCGCCCCTCCCGGGGGGCGGCGCCCCGCCCCCCGCCCCGCCCGCGGCTGGGTCCACTCGCAACCTGGACTCCGCCCCCTTTCCAGACCCGCCCCCGCAGCCCAGTGACAGGAGGCGGGGCCTCGTCGGTGCGCAGGTAAGTAAAAGTGGAAAAAGGAGAAGTACGTTCGTAAAAGTAAAGTAAGTAAGCAAATAAAACCAGTAAGTAAATAGAACAAGTACATACAAAAAAATAAGTAAATAGAACAAAAAATAATTAAAGTAAAACAGCAGCCGCTGTGCTCCGTCTCTGGGGTCTCCCAGCTCGGGGGCTTTGTTGGAGCGTGTAAACGGCAGGAAGGCAGATCTGCTGTGGAACAGGCACCTTTCTAAATTTCGGTACTTGCCGGTAGGAATCAGTTGAGACCCTCCAGTGTGATGGAGAACTGGGGCTCAACCAGCCTAAGATAGGGAATAAGAAGGCAGTAAAAAGGGAGACTTAAATTAAAAAATGAAAATAAAAAAATAAGAGAGAGTAAGAGGAAATGGGAGAGGAGCTGAGGGAAGGAGAAAGGGAGACCCTCTCTAGTGACAGTGGGCCACACCCCCAGGAGACTGGGGCGCCAGTCCCCCTCTGCCTCAGTCTTCCCATCAGTGAAATGGGGAGAAGGATTCATGCTCCTCCCCCCTGCAGGGGCTGTGCAAGTGTACATGAAGCACAACCATGTGCGTGTGGCTCCTGGTTGCCCACCGCTCCCTTGATAACATGTTCTCCTGGTCCACTCTTCCGGGGCTTCTCCTCCCCTTCTGTGCTTCCCCACTCCTGTCTGTCAGTCCTCGTAACCCCAGACCTCTCATTCTTTGACCTTGGCCCTGCCCTGCTGCCTGTCCCCTACTGCTGGCTCTCTGACGTCTGGTCTCTGTGTCCAGTGCAACCAGAACAAATCGGACTGCTTCTACCAGACATACTCGTCCGGGGTGGATGCGGTGAGGGAGTGGTACCGCTTCCAATACATCAACATTCTGTCCAGACTGCCGGACCCCCCGCCATCCCTGGAGTTGGGCAACTTCATCTTCGCCTGCCGCTTCAACCAGGCCTCCTGCAACCAGGCGTGAGTCAGTCCTGCCTGCTCAGCACTCCCCATGCAGTCTCCTTCCCTGGGTCAGCCTGAGGCCCTGCATGGGCAGGGCCCGGGAAATGCATGTTGACCAAGTAAATGCCTAAAAGCTGGCAGGGGAGAAACACTGGACTCAGGTCCACCCTTCTGCCCCATGGGTCGCCCTGCAGACTTCTGCTGCTCCTTGCACCACTGGGTCTGCGTGCAGCAGCCTCCTCCCTGGCCCACCATCCCCTTGATCCCATGCTGTCTTGGGCCACTCGCCAGGGGAAGGTTGAGGCTCCAGGTCTGCCTTTGAGAATCCATGGGCTGGAAGCATGGTTCTCAGTCTTTCTAAGACCTCTTTCTCACTAGCATCAAAGCTTGAAAGGGCCTGGGGGATTATCTAGTCCCCTGATCCACTTCCTCAGATGAGGTTGGCAGTACTGTGTGGTGTAATAGCATGGATTGAGGGACTAAGCCCAGGTCCCCACTCTGGCTCTGTTACTTCCTGGCCAGGTGACTGGGCATTTCATATCATTTTTTCAGAACCTGTTTCTCTGTTTGTAAAATGGAAGTAAAACAAAACACAGAAAGCGAGATTCATTCAATGTTCATTCAACAAATATTTTTGACTGTCTGGACTTTGTGCCAGTCACTGTTTTAGGCATTTGGGATACATCAAAGAAAAAACTACCTAGTCCTTGCCCTTTTGGCACTTTTGCTCACGTGGTGAAGATGACGATAACACCCATCTCAGAGTTATACCAAGTGTGTGAGCTAACAAGGGGGGATGGTGCACTTTACAGACAGCGTTGAATGATGGTCTCTTTACTCCTGCCCTCAGACAGTGAGGTGATTTGTCCTACGGCGTGGGGTGGGCCCTAGCTGAGGATTCTTCCCACTCCACTGCCCCTCAGGCATTTTTTCTATTAGGACCCCTGTCATAATGTCCTTGCAAGGGGGGTCATGGCAGCTGGTGGCTCTCTGAGGACTGGGAGAGGCTAGGAGTGAGGGAGGCCCCCTTCTGCAGCCTCTGGCCCCCTCGTCCCCCTGTCTTCCCCTCCCACTTCTGCTCCTTGCTTTGCAGGGGATGTCTCCCTCTTCCTGGCTGACGAAAGGTGCTGAGGCAGCATCTCTTCGCTACAGGGGCCCTTCCCTCCCGTGTCACTGGAGAATGGCAGCCGGGCCAGGTGTCACCTGCTTCTGACCCTACCTCTCGCCTCTCACACACTCTGCCAAACACACAATTTTGTCCCTGTCTCTAGTGTTTGTCTTTGTTTGAGGACAGAAGCTACCAGCTGGGAAGTGAGACAGTAGCAGCACCTAAGCCTGAGTCAGCCCACACCTGCCACCAAGTCTCTCTGTCACCTTCCCACCTGCAAGTTTCATACATTTTCAGCCTGATCTTCCTCCTTCGCCTGCTCCGTGCCTCTGCCTCCCCATCGACTGCAAATCCATGGTTCATCTTTGTCTTGGCACTTGAGTCACTTGCTCTGCTGAGAACCTCATCATGCCTCACCTGGATCATCATAGCTGCCCCTCATGTGTTTTTCCTTTCTTTCTTTCTGTTTGTTTGTTTGGTTTTGCAGCTGGCCAGGACAGGAAGCTTTATACTTCACTATTCTGACTTCACTTCACGCCACATAACTATTCCAGTTAGTCCTGTTTAAAATCCTTCAGTGTCTCTCATGGCCTTCAGAATCAAGTTGAAGTTCTCTAGCATGGCTTTCTCTCCCCTCTCTTCCTCCATATCCAAAACCCTTACCTCCTTCCTATAATCCTTTCTTTAGTAACCCCTTTATTGAGATATAATTCGCATACCATAAAGTTCATCCTTCTAATATGTACAAGTTAGTGGTTTTTAGTATTTTGAGAGTTATGCAATCATCACCACTATCTAATTTTAGAACATTTTTCTCACCCCAAAAAGAAACCCTGTGCCCATAGTAGTTCCTTCCCATTTCCTCCCCTCCTCCAAGCCCTGGGAGCACTAGTCTGCTTTCCATCTCTTTGGATTGGCTATTGTGGACATTTCATATAAATGGAATCATACACTACGTGGTCTTCTGTGACTGGCTTCTTTCACTCAGCACAATGTTTTCAAGGTTCATTGCTGTTTTAGCATGGGTCAGTACTTCATTTCTTTTTATGACAGAATAATATTATATAGGTAGACCCCGTTTTTGTTTATGTATTCCTCAATTGTTTCCATTTTTTGTTTTTTGTGAATAATGTTGCTATGAACATTTGCGTGCAAGAAGTTTTGTGTGGACATATGCTTTTAATTCTCTTAGGTATATACCTAGGAGTGGAATTGCTGGGTCGTGTGATAGCTCCACGTTTAACATTCTGAGGAACTGCCAGACTTTTCCAAATCGCTGCACCATTTTACATTCCCAACAGCAATGTATGAGGGTTCCAAATTCTCTCCATCCTCTGCTTATTATTGCCTGTCTTTCCGACGTTAGCCATCTTAATGAATCTCCGTGATCTTAATGGTAAACTAATACAGGTCTTACTAAGTGCTAAGCACTGTTCTGAGTATAATTTAATCCTCACAGCACCCCTTTGAGATAGATATTAGTATTATCCCCATTTTACGATGGGGAAGCTGAGGTATAGGAAAATGAAGTAACTTGTTTTGCGTCACATCTAATACTTGTTAGAGCTAGGACTCAAATCCTACAAGGAGTTTAGTTCTGGAGGCTGCATTCTTAACCGTCACATTATACTGCTTCTCATAGACCACTATATTAATGTGCTTAATGTGTATCTTTTTGTATGTGTTTTTGCAAAATGTGTATTTAATTTACACAAATGGTATTATGTTATATATCTCATTTCATCCCTTCTTTTTTTTACTAAACCCTGTTTTTATGCTCCACTAATCTGCTGATTCCACCTGCTGCAAGCTGTCTGTGCTGTGCATCCACAGCACTGTGCCTGTCCCCTCTCCCAGTGAGCAGGACTCACAGGCCCTTCAGGTCTGGCCACTTCTTGGATTCCTCCTGCATCCAGCCTGTGCTCTGGAAATGCTGACTTCGTAGCATATGTGCACCAATATTTCACAGCTCTGTGCCTTTATTCTTCAAGGCTGATGGAATATTCCAGATCATCTGGTTCCAATCCTGCCATTTTACAGATGAAGAGGATGAGTTTAGAAAAAACAACTTGCTGCAGGCCATTCGGTCAGAGCCCCCTCTTTATCCCCAGCTGGCCTTCTCCTTCTCACTTCTCTTGATTCCTCCTCTGCCTCTCACAGGCCAAAGCCACATCTCTCTCCCTGCTCCCATAGCCGGATCCAAGATGACGGGGTAGCATAACCCACATTCCCTTCATCCCCATGTGGGCACTTGCTATAACCCCACACAGCTTCCCTGTCTGGAACTGAGATTTGCTGTCAAATCGTATCTCTACTGCAGTAATGTTACCTCTGTGATTGCTTCCTCCCTGTTCCCAGGCTTGTCACAGACCAGCTTTGGACTCTCCAGTACGAGACATGCTGATGCAGGAGGCCTCTGGAAAACACTTGGCCTCAGTCCTGCACTGGGATCTGATCTTCCTCCCCTCAGTTCTGTGCTCATCACTGGTCTCTCCTCTAACACCGTCCTTCTCCATCTCTCCATTTCATTCATTCAGTCATTCATTCACTTGACAACTATTTGTTAACTATCTCCTGTATCTCCTGTACACCAGGAACTATGCAACTAACCCAGAGATGATGTAGGGATGAATGAGGCGCGGCTCTGTCCTCAAGGAGCTCACAGTCCAAATGGGGAACTAAGATTTAGACATGTGAGAGTTAGGGACACTGCAAGAGTCATCATAATGCAACACAGTGACACAAGAGAGGCCACAGAGCAGTGTGTAAGTCAAGACCAGTGAGGTCAGATGGCCTACAGGGAGGAGCCTGGGCTAGAAGATGGATGACCTGGTTTGAGTCCCAGGTTCATTGGCACTGTTTGTGTGACCTGGGGCCAGATGCTTGACCTCTCTGAGCCTTAGCTGCCTCTTCCGTGATGTGCGGATGAGGCCCTCGCAGGCTGTTGGGTAGAGTGACCGAGGGAGCAGGGGTGAAAGTTCCCTGCATTGTACAAGTGTGCAGTAGGTGATCAGGAAACAACTGCTCTGAGAGGCGCAGGTCCTGCAGCAGTTTCAGGGAGTGGAGCTTTTCCTCTGCCTCGTCTTCCTGCTCCCCTGACCTCCTGCACGCTCCTCCTGACCCTGCTCTCTCTCTCCTGCTAAGGAATTACTCTCACTTCCATCACCCGATGTATGGGAACTGCTACACTTTCAATGACAAGAACACCTCCAACCTCTGGATGTCTTCCATGCCCGGAATCAGCAATGGTGAGCAAGTCCCTGTTCCCTCAGTGCCCAGTCTCTGCCTCAGGCCTTCCCAGGACTCACCTCGAGTCCACCTTCTAGACGTGCTTGGTACCTTCTGTCTATCCTGGAAGGAGTCCGCTCTGTTCTTTCTTCCCCATGGGCACCACATAGTCCATTCCAGGTGTGAGAGGAGCCCTGTCCCTGTCCTTCCTGCCTGCCCTCAGAATCCAGCACCGGGATTGTCTCTTCTCAGGTCTTCCTGGCCTTGTTCCCCTCGGAGAGTTACAGACTAGGCAAGGTGGGAGGGGGGTCTTTATCCCCAAACTCTTCTCCAAGACACCCTTCCCCCATCTGCTCCCTCTGCACCCCAGGTCTGTCCCTGGTGCTGCGCACAGAGCAGAAGGACTTCATCCCCCTGCTGTCCACGGTGACTGGGGCCAGGGTCATGGTGCACGGGCAGGATGAGCCTGCCTTTATGGACGATGGTGGCTTTAACTTGCGGCCTGGTGTGGAGACCTCCATCAGCATGAGGAAGGCAAGTGTGCTGACGGGGAGGCTGAGCAGGAGAGCCCCAGAGTGGAGAGAGGCAGAGGGAGGGATGGGGGTGATTTGGTGGCCAGAAGACTGTGGGGGGAGATGATGTGGGGTGGCCTTGAGCTTTTGAAGGTCTTCAGGGGCAGGAATTAGGGGTGAGGGGCTGGCAGCGTGGGCACTGGGAAGTAGGATCCGGGGAGTGGACCTTGGCTGAGAAGAGGTTCAGGGCATCCCAGGGGATTCTCTGGGCCCAGTGTCCTTGCAAGTAGCACCGGGGTGGGTGTTGGGGGCTGCTGCACACATGGTTTGAGATGGTGAAGCAGATGGGAGGGGCTGGCAGGGCTTGAGACACATCCTGGGACTGAGAGAAGACGGAATGCAGGCAGAGGCCACTTGCTCTGACCTATGACCTCTTGGGGTATTTGGGGTCATAGGAAGCCCTGGACAGACTTGGGGGTGATTATGGCGACTGCACCCAGAATGGCAGCGACGTGCCTGTCAAGAACCTTTACCATTCCAAGTACACACAGCAGGTGAGCCCCATCCCGTTTCTGTGGCCCTGTCTCCCAGGCCTGCACTAGTTGGTCAGTCAGGGTTGGAGTGTGAGCGTGTTTGTGTGTGACAGAGAGGAAGGTTGGGGGTAGGGGTGGGCAGGCTGGTGGAAAGAGGGACGTCGAAGGTGGCGCCAAGTGGGGGAGGGGAGGGCCTGAACCCCCTCCTCTCCGCCCACCTCTCCTCCAGGTGTGCATCCGCTCCTGCTTCCAGGAGAGCATGATCACACAGTGCGGCTGTGCCTACATCTTGTACCCGCGGCCCCAGGATGTGCAGGGCGTGGAGTACTGCGACTACAGGAAGCACAGCTCCTGGGGTGAGCCCTGCCCTGCCGGCCAGCCTTCCTCAGGAGCTCTCCTCCCAGTCCCCTCTGCCCGTGCATGACTTTTGGCCCCCACCAGCCCTGGCCAACTCTCCCCCTTGTTTTTCTGCCTTAGTCTCTGACTCTTTCTCTCTCTCTTTTGGATTTTGTGTGTTCGTCAGGGAATTGTCTCATTTAAAAATAACCCACAGCATCAGGAAGGAAGAAAGTGTCCAGCGCGGCTCTGGCACGTTCTGCCTGCAGCCTGCCGCCTGTTCCTCGGGGTGCTCGGCAGGGCTGGTTCCTGGGTTTGGGGGGCGCAGGAAGACAATATTAGAAGTTATATGTGTCTGTCTCATTCCTCCACATTTTCCATCTTATGTGTGTTTTAGATTGTGCCATTCAGTAGTACTGGCATATAATTTATAGATCAAATATCTATTTTGGACCTGCTTATTTAAGATTTTTTTCTACGTGGAGGAGGGCACCATCAAAAAAATTTGGAGAGCCCTGGAATCTCCTCCTCATTGTGATATAGGAATAGACAAATCCTTTTTGGCTGCAGCTATTCAGCAGGGAAGCTGTGTACTAGGAAGCTGAGAGAGAAAGAAAATCCCAGCAAGAAAATAACAGCCGCTCCGGGCGTTCGAGTTCCTGGCGCACATGCTCTTATCTGGCACGGCTGGCCCGGTCTCCCCGTGATTCCTCCTCCCAGGGCTCCCCTGGGCCCAGCTTTCCCACAGCATGGGGCGAGGGAGTGGGTGGGCTGAGGGCCAGCACTGCAGGACACGTGCTAGTGGACACTGCAGACACTGAGGGCGCTCACAGGCTGGTGATCGTCCCACCCCAAGTTTAGTGTCTGCGCCTGCCTTGGCCCTGCCTGTGCTGATCTTTCTGCCTCCTTCCGTCCACACGGTTCTCTCCCCTTGCCTGTCCTTTCCAGTTGTGGCCTCCTGGTTCCTGTCTCTCTGACCTTAGAGGATCGAGCACATCAGAACTGGAGGGAAGCTCAGACCGGGGCGGGGGCGGGGGGACAATGCCCCTCCCTGCCCCAAGCAGTTGTTTCTAAGTTGTTGTGAGTTTCAAAATCTGTGAGTGAAAAATAACAATATTGATTGCTAAGAAGTGAGGACAAGGGAGAGGAACCTGGGCTAAAAGCACAGAGCACAGCGTGGTGAGTTTCCTGAGGCTTGCTCGCCAGAGAAGGGGGCCCAGCTACTTTCTAATTAAATATCCCCTGCCCTGGTAGATGGAGGGATTTGGGTCAGAAATAAAGGACTTCAGACTGAGTGACTAAAGGTAGAGATAATGACAAAATAACCTTACTTAGAACTTGGGAACAGGGGAGTCCGTAGTCCCATTATTCTTTTTTTTTGGTAATAGCTTTACTGAGATAATTCATATCCTTTCCAACTCACTCTTTCAAAGTGTACAATTTTAGTTTAGAGTAGAGATAATGACAAAATAACCTTACTTAGAACTTGGGAACAGGGGAATCCGTAGTCCCTTTATTCTTTTTTTTTGGTAATAGTTTTACTGAGATAATTCATATCCTTTCCAACTCACTCTTTCAAAGTGTACAATTTTAGTTTAGGATAATTCTAGTTTTTAATTTTCAGTTTGTGCAACCATCACCACAATCAATTTTAGAATATTTTTACCACTCCCAAAAGAAACCTTGTACTCATAAGCAGTCCCCAAGCTACCCGCCTCCCCTGCCAGCCCCTGGGAGGCCACTAATCTGTTTTCTGTCTCTATAGATTTGCCTTTTCTGGACATTGCATATAGATCAAATCTTACAATATGTGGTCTTTCATGTCTGGCTTCTTTCACTTGGCATCATGGTTTCAAGGTTCATTCATGTTGTAGTGTGTGTCAGTACTTCACTTCTCTTTTATTTTTTTTCTGGCGGCTGGCCGGTATGGGGATTTGAACCCGTGACCTTGGTGTTAGAAGGCTGTGCTCTAACCAACTGAGCTAACCGGCCAGCCCTAGTACTTCATTTTTTTATATGGCTGAATAGTATTATATTATACAGATATACCACATTTTTGTTTATCCGTTCCTCAGTTGATGGACATTTGGGTTTTTCCACTTTTTGTTTTTTTGGATGATGTTGCTATGACCGTTTGTGTGCAAGCGTTTGTGTGCACATATGTTTTCAGTCCTGCTGGGTATATACTGAGGGGTGGAATTGCTGGGTAGTGTGGTAACTCTACACTTAACCTTTCGAGGAGCTAAAGCAGTCCCCAAGCTACCCGCCTCCCCTGCCAGCCCCTGGGAGGCCACTAATCTGTTTTCTGACTCTATGGATTTGCCTTTTCTGGACATTGCATATAGATCGAATCTTACAATATGTGGTCTTTCATGTCTGGCTTCTTTCACTTGGCATCATGGTTTCAAGGTTCATTCATGTTGTAGCGTGTGTCAGTACTTCACTTCTCTTTTATTTTTTTTCTGGCGGCTGGCCGGTATGGGGATTTGAACCCGTGACCTTGGTGTTAGAAGGCTGTGCTCTAACCAACTGAGCTAACCGGCCAGCCCTAGTACTTCATTTTTTTATATGGCTGAATAGTATTATATTATACAGATATACCACATTTTTGTTTATCCGTTCCTCAGTTGATGGACATTTGGGTTTTTCCACTTTTTGTTTTTTTGGATGATGTTGCTATGACCGTTTGTGTGCAAGCGTTTGTGTGGACATATGTTTTCAGTCCTGCTGGGTATATACTGAGGGGTGGAATTGCTGGGTAGTGTGGTAACTCTACACTTAACCTTTCGAGGAGCTGCCAGCCTGTTTTCCAAAGCGGCTGCACCATTTTACGTCTCCGTGGCAGTATATAAGATTTCCAGTTTCTACACATCCTTGCTAGTGCTTACTATTGTCTTTTTAAAAATACTAGCCATCCTGGTGGGTGTGAAGAGGCATCTCATTGTGGCTCCATCTCATCACTCGTTCCCACTTTTCTTTCTGACTCTTATGTTTTTGTCTGTATCCTGCACATGTTTACATGGGTGTATTCTGGTTTTCTTTCCTATATTGTTTCTTAAACGTTTTTTGGTACTGCCACTCATGAGGCATCATTGTAATGCTATATAATTTTCTTGTAAATTGGGTGCCCAGGGACCTTGGGAGACCTCTTGCATGTGGGGGTGGAAGGTTGAGTGCCCCAGGAAAACAGGCACCCCCTGTACCCGCAGGCTACTGCTACTATAAGCTCCGGGATTCCTTTTCCTCAGACAGGCTGGGCTGTTTCACCAAGTGCCGGAAGCCGTGCAGGTGAGTGTCCCCTTCCCCAGGTACAGGTTAGGCAGAGGGCTGCTTGGCCAGGTAGAATACAGGGTACTCAGCTAGGCCTTTGACTGGGAGAGCTTCACCCCATTACTGAGCACCTCTCTCCATCCGCAGTGTGACCAGCTACAAGCTCTCTGCTGGTTACTCACGATGGCCCTCGGTGACATCCCAGGTAAAATGGGAAAGGGAGGAACAGCAGAACGTGTGTGTGTGCGTCCACGTAGTGCTGTGGCCTTTTCTGAATATGATGTGTATGGGTGTGTCTGACCCGACGCCATCCTGAAGAGTACAGGGGTGACCTCAGTGACACTCCCACTCTTTCCCAGGACTGGGTCTTCGAGATGCTATCCCGACAGAACAATTACACTATCAAAAACAAAAGGTCAGTCCTGGGGGGTCCCAGCCCCAGGAGAGGAATCCTTGGGCGGGAAGACATCTGGGAAGAGGAATTGACGTTGATGATTGGAGGAGGGTCCAAGAAGGCAATCCTCTACCGTTTCTTCTCCCCCACTCCACAGAAACGGAGTTGCCAAACTCAACGTCTTCTTCAGGGAGCTGAACTACAGAACCAATTCCGAGTCCCCCTCTGTCACGGTGCGTCTTGCCTCATGGAGCCTGGGCTTCTCTTGGGGGTCTTAGCAGGGTGGCTGTCAGGGAAAACAAGGGGTTGCCTCTGTGGGGCCAGAAGGGTTTGGGCCTCAAAGCTGGGGAGCCAAGAAAAAGGGGAGAGGGGTCAAGTGTGAGGTGGGGAGGGTTGGAAGAAGGGGAGCTCGGGCTGGGGAGTGAGGTCTCTGGGGGTGGCGGGAGCGATGGCTGTGCCAGATGACGGGGAGGAGGCCCCGAGGCTGCCCCAGTTTCAGCTGCCTCCAGCTGTGGCCCAGTTACCAGTTTTTTCTGGGTGGCACACCAGCTGGGGACTCCTAAGGGAGAAGAGCAGAGGTGAGGGGCTCAGGGACCCCCTGAGAGGCTGAGAGGGGTGGGTGGGGTCCTCTGGGGGGAAGGGAGACAGCTTGGGAAGGAGGACTGGGGCTCCCCTGCCAGAACCCAGCAGGGCGCTGTGCCCCTCTTCCCTCTCAGATGGTCACCCTCCTGTCCAACTTGGGCAGCCAGTGGAGCCTGTGGTTCGGCTCCTCGGTGCTTTCTGTCGTGGAGATGGCCGAGCTCGTCTTTGACCTCCTGGTCATCACAGTCCTTATGCTGCTCCGGAGGTTCCGAAGCCGATACTGGTCTCCAGGCCGAGGGGCTGGGGGTGCGCAGGAGGTGGCCTCCACCCCAGCTGCCTCCCTCCCCTCCCACCTCTGCCCCCACCTTGCCTCCCCATCCTTGTCCCAGCCGTCCTTGTCCCAGCCGGGCCCTGCCTCCTGCGAGGCCTTGACCGCCCCTCCACCTGCCTATGCCTCCCTGGGCCCCTGCCCATCTCTGTCAGGCCCCTGAGAGGAAGGAGAGTGCTTCTCCCCCCGAGGCAGGGGCTCCTCCTGGTGGGAGGAGATGAGCCTTGGCAGGATGAAAGGGTGTTTGGGGCTTCCTCTGAGAGCTGCCCAGCTGCCTTCCGTGTGGGGAAGGAAACGGAGGGGAAGGGGCTGGGGACGGCCAGTGAAGCTGCCCGGCACTGCCTTGGCTCCTGCTCTGTACCCCTTGGTGTTGCCTCTGAACACTCCAGTTTCCCCACCCAAGTGCAGACAAGTCTCCTTTTCCCTTGGATCAGCCAAGCCAAACTTGGAGCTTTGACAAGGAACTTTTCCTAGGAAACTACTGACGACCAGAACAAAACACAAACAAGGGCACTCAACGGCAGGCATGGGTTTCCTGCCCTATGAGGACCGAGGCTGGCCCCGGATTAGCCTGGCCACATTGCTTTTCGGTGACACAGATGTCTGCTCCTCTTCTTGAACTTGGGTGGGGAAGCCTACCCCAAAGCCCCCTTCGTTAGTTCTTGGGCAATTCCCCTTCCCCAACTCCCCAGGGCGGGGGCTGGAGCAGACCACTGTAGGAAAGGCTTGGCACTCCCAGGCAGACCCAGGGCTCTTCTAGCTTCATGTCCCACACCCCACAGAGCCGTACTCCAGCGCCTCCGCCCTGTGTCCTTCATACCTCCGCCTGTCTGCTCGAGCTGTCTCCTCAGCCTGGAAGCTTCTCCTCCCATCTACTAGAGAACTCCTGTGCATCCTTTAGAACCCGGCCTAGACACCATTATGCCTGTGAAGGCTTCTGCCCCATCTTGTCTCCCCCTGTCCCTGGGCTCTCACAGTGCACTGTGACACTCGCTGGGGTGCTGATGTTGCGTTATACTTCCTTGTTCATTTGTGTTTGCCTCCCCGACTAGACTGTGAGCTCCTTGCAGTCAGGAACTGAGTCTTGTTCATTTATGTATGCTCCAGGTCTAGCCCAGTGCCCTGCTTGGAGAAGTAGGCAGGTGCTCAATAAATGTATGTCGCATAAAGGAATGTCTGGAGAGCTGGATGGGGCACCATGGAGGGAGACTGTGAGCTCCTTGCAGTCAGGAACTGAGTCTTGTTCATTTATGTATGCTCCAGGTCTAGCCCAGTGCCCTGCTTGGAGAAGTAGGCAGGGCTCAATAAATGTATGTCGCATAAAGGAATGTCTGGAGAGCTGGATGGGGCACCATGGAGGGGGTCAGGAGTGGATGCAAGTCCCTGAGTCACTGCCTAAACTTCTGGGGTGGGGGAAGGAACAGACTCCTGTGCCCCTTGGCTTCACCATGGAAGTGAGCATTCTTCAGGGGCCTCAGCAGAGATGAACTGTCCTGTGAGTTCCTCCATGGCGTTGCTGAGCATCTGCTGTGTGCCCATCACCATTTTAGGGTGAAAGGGGGAAGACGTGGTGCCACTCCGCTCAGGGGACCTGCTTCTCAGCGCTTCGGCTGGAAGGCTCGCCCTCTTCGGTGTCTGCACCTGGTTTTCCTTCCCAACTTCAGTCACCACATCCATCCTCCACTGCATTTGCTGGGCACCACTCATCACCCGCTGCACTTAACATCCTCATCTGCCCACCTCCCCAGCAACTGCTTGGCAGTGGTGGAAGAGAAAGACTCGGGCTAGTGTCAAAACCTTATGTAACTACATAATCTGTGCATCGTCACAGAGGCAGGGGCATAGGGGATCCTCCCAGCCTTAACAGAGAAGAAATTGAGGTCCGGGGAGAGGCTGAGGGACATTTGAGTGGAACCCCATTCTGATCCCCCGTTCCTTCCCGACTCCAGCATCAGATCTGGCATCCTGAAGTGACACTTTCTCATCACCTTTGGGGATACTTCTCCTGCGGCCTGGGTCTCATTCCTCTTGATTACAGTCTTCCTGTCCCGAGGGGCCAAAGGAGAAAGGGGAAAGGAGGAACCGGTGAGGGGTGAAGGGCGTGGGGGGGAGAAAGTGTCATGACGCGGGGCGGTGTGATGACTGCTGACTTCCCTTTCCTAGACTCCAGCTGATGAAGGGGAAATGGTGGTGTCACAACAGGCTGCCCTGTCAGAGTCCTCAGGTGCAGTCTGCCCTCTGCTGCAGCACTGGCCTGGGCCTTGCCCCATCCCGAACCTGCCGGACGGCTGTGCAGTTTCTCCTGCCAGCCTACATTTCCGCCCTGNCTCGCTGGGGTGCTGATGTTGCGTTATACTTCCTTGTTCATTTGTGTTTGCCTCCCCGACTGGACTGTGAGCTCCTTGCAGTCAGGAACTGAGTCTTGTTCATTTATGTATGCTCCAGGTCTAGCCCAGTGCCCTGCTTGGAGAAGTAGGCAGGTGCTCAATAAATGTATGTCGCATAAAGGAATGTCTGGAGAGCTGGATGGGGCACCATGGAGGGGGTCAGGAGTGGATGCAAGTCCCTGAGTCACTGCCTAAACTTCTGGGGTGGGGGAAGGAACAGACTCCTGTGCCCCTTGGCTTCACCATGGAAGTGAGCATTCTTCAGGGGCCTCAGCAGAGATGAACTGTCCTGTGAGTTCCTCCATGGCGTTGCTGAGCATCTGCTGTGTGCCCATCACCATTTTAGGGTGAAAGGGGGAAGACGTGGTGCCACTCCGCTCAGGGGACCTGCTTCTCAGCGCTTCGGCTGGAAGGCTCGCCCTCTTCGGTGTCTGCACCTGGTTTTCCTTCCCAACTTCAGTCACCACATCCATCCTCCACTGCATTTGCTGGGCACCACTCATCACCCGCTGCACTTAACATCCTCATCTGCCCACCTCCCCAGCAACTGCTTGGCAGTGGTGGAAGAGAAAGACTCGGGCTAGTGTCAAAACCTTATGTAACTACATAATCTGTGCATCGTCACAGAGGCAGGGGCACAGGGGATCCTCCCAGCCTTAACAGAGAAGAAATTGAGGTCCGGGGAGAGGCTGAGGGACATCTGAGTGGAGCCCCATTCTGATCCCCCGTTCCTTCCCGACTCCAGCATCAGATCTGGCATCCTGAAGTGACACTTTCTCATCACCTTTGGGGATACTTCTCCTGCGGCCTGGGTCTCATTCCTCTTGATTACAGTCTTCCTGTCCCGAGGGGCCAAAGGAGAAAGGGGAAAGGAGGAACCGGTGAGGGGTGAAGGGCGTGGGGGGGAGAAAGTGTCATGACGCGGGGGGTGTGATGACTGCTGACTTCCCTTTCCTAGACTCCAGCTGATGAAGGGGAAATGGTGGTGTCACAACAGGCTGCCCTGTCAGAGTCCTCAGGTGCAGTCTGCCCTCTGCTGCAGCACTGGCCTGGGCCTTGCCCCATCCCGGACCTGCCGGACGGCTGTGCAGTTTCTCCTGCCAGCCTACATTTCCGCCCTGGGGTCTTTCCTTATTTCCATGCCTTGTGTGTGGGCTACTCTGGCCCCTAGGGTTAGGAAGTGGAATCAGAATGTTAGAGATAAAAAGGTAGCCTCACTTTCCTTATTGGGCTTAGTGGGTGAAGTGACTGCCCCAGTTAGTGACTCTTACAGAACCAGCCTGGGACCCAGGTCTCCTGTGACTTGCTGCCTTCCTGTGGCACACGGAGTGCGGATGGCAGGGGTGGCTGAGACTTGGAGTCCAGTGCCCTTTGGTGAAGCACGTGCTGGGCACATGCACGCATGTGAGACGTGACAGGGGGCGGGTCTCTGCCCTCCGAAGCTCTTTCCTTCATCCTTTGCTCCACGGACCTTAGCCAAACCCAGGGCCGCTCTCTCCTGCTGCTCCACCTGTCCCCTCCTCTCTACCCCAGAAGGGATTAGGGTCTCATTCTCACCTCTGTGAAATTAGTTACCTTTTCATATGCCTAGATCCACCTACTTCTCACCATCTTTTCTTTTTCCTTTTTTAAACAGAATTTTATTGAGTAATTTGACACCACAAGTCTCAAGCCTTTAAACTTATTGAGTAAATAAGCATTTATCTTTTTTTTTTTTTTGTCTTTTGTCTTTTTCCGTGTCCGGCAACGGATCGCAACCCNGAGCGCCGCCGTGCTTCCCAAGCGGCGCACTATCCAGTGCGCCACCGGGCCGGCCCAATAAGCATTTATCTTAAGCAGTGAAAGAAACTGTCCTATTGAGACAGGCCATGTGTAATGGCTTTTGCACAGGCTATTAGAAACTCCTTGTAACATTAAAACTAGGATATTGAAGTTGTTATTAATTATTACTACAAACTATTAATATCGCTACCACTTACTGCTGCAGAGTGTATGGCAAGCACTTGCTCCACGCTTCATTTGCACTTAGTCATTGAACCGGCCCTGCGAGGGTTTCCAGCTCGAGGGTTTCCAGCACGAGGGTTTCCAGCACGAGGGTTTGCAGCACGAGGGTTTGCAGCACGCTCCCCACTTTCAGGTGAGGACCTGGAGGCTCTCCTTGCTTCTTCACATTGGATCTGGTCTTATCGATCCTAGTGGCATCACTTTGCCCATGTAGGTGGGTAGACGTTGTTACCCCCACTTAATAAACGCGGAAGGCTGGTCTGAGGAAGGGAGTCAGTTATCACAATTGATTGCTCGTAGTCAGGTACGGATCAAACTCCTTGCTCTACTCTTCCCCCCTGCACACCTGCTGCACTGGACTAGTCAAAAATAAATGCATAAATAATAAATAAATGCGGTACCAACTAAGGCTCTGTAGAGAGAGGAGTTGCCTGATGTCCCGCAACTGGGGCAGAGGCAGAATCAGCAACTGAGGGAATGGGTCAGAACGAAGAGGGGGTGGTCAGGGCCCCAGTCAGGGCAGAAAAGTAGGGTTAGGACTTACTCTGAGGTTTGGGTTGGATGGATAAATTTCCGAGGCAGTGGGAGATTAGGGTGCCGTGGAGAACTCTGGGGTA